TGTCTTACTCAGTGGTTGTGACTGTTGATTTGCAATCTTAGATGAAAGAAACTACAATTAGATTTTACATTTAAAATTCTAGCATCTGCCCATTAAAAGAAGCCCATCTCCTTTTGTTTGGCTTTGCACATAAAAAACTTCAAAACCACATGAATCTGTTGATGATTATCACTAAAAGTCTATTTCTATCCCATGGCAAGGTTTGTATATCCTAACAGGTAGCAAGTGCTCTTCTCTGAGAACACTGTATTGATCTCCGAGATGTGCAAAGTGGGAGTCTGCAGCAGAACCTCCATTCATCCTCCCTGTTCTGACAATGGCAGCACAGCAGCGCAGCTTCGGTAGCTAGTACCTAGATCATGCTATAAATGAATATTTACTTCTTAAATTGTGCCTCGATGTGTATGGACAGCCAGTATCTAGTCCAAAAAATTAGCAGTGGATACTATCAAGAAATGTTTGTAACCAGATGCACAGTTTGAAACACATGAATGAGAATTAAATACAAGTAAATGTGAAGATTACATCTAAAGAGCAAACTGTTCTCTGGAAATGTGTTTAGAGCCTTAAGACTGTTAGCTTTATGGGAGGGACAGGCTCTTCATTTTCCATTAAGACCATGATTTTAGCTAAAGATTTGAATTGTTGCACTACAGCAGTATTGTTTTATCTCCCCAGTTCAGGATTAATAAATTATTTGAATTCTTAAAAACCCTAGAAACAAAACCAAATCTCTTTCTGTATTTCTTCCGTAGTCAGTATTTTCCAGTGTTACTAATTCATTTCCATTCTTCTGTGCTTTAAAACCAATTTCCCTGGTGTATTACTCTATTTTTATCAGTTCAATATTAATCCAGCTGATTGCAAGGTCTGTGGAATCAAGTGTTAAACAACTTCACATTTTCAGTATTGTTTACAGAGCCAATTATCTTGTATTGGAAAGTCACTTCAGTTCTGAGATGCTGATTCCTCTCTTCATGTCTCTTTTACATGACCAACTCCTTAAAGTATTATTTCCTGTTCTTTAACAATAAGATTACTTTCTGTCCTGTTCTTGTTTCAGAGACATCCTCTACAAGCAGCCCACGCTCCTATGACCTACTGGTTCCAAAACTCTACTGAACTCAAGACCTTTTTCCTATGAACTATGTAGGTACTAAGTATCAAAATAATTAATTTTTTACTATCAAAAGGCTTTTAGGAAGGGCTCCATGAGCTTATTCTTACAGTTTGTACTTTATGACATTAGGAAGAAGCAACTGTTACCTTTCAGATACTTGGCTAGCATTTCTAAGGGAAGCTAAACATTTCTGATAGTTTTGTAGCTATATGGAGGCTGGAACATTTATTCTAAGAATCGATCAGAATAGTTTGCACTTACTTGATAAGCTTCCTAAACCAATTATGAAAATGTACAAAACCTCACTTTGTACACATTTTTATACTGAAAATGATTGGAATGTTGAAGAGTGCTCTAGGATAGCATGTTTAAAATGTCAAGTCATGTGCTAATACTGCCAGCATCATAAATGCACAAATGCTCAGATTTTACATGAGAACATGAAGTCAATGTCAAACTTTAAAAATTCAATAAACTGAACATGGCTGAAGCTTCCAGCACTCTCTTTCAAGCTAGGAATAGGGTTTTAAAAGCTGTTGTGCAACATAACTTGAATGGTATAAATAAACTTTCTGCTATGGACCTTTGGATGTGCCATTTTGTAATACAGATGGCTTTTTAGCCAGGACCAGGAATAGCAGAGTTTACCTATGCAAAATAGGACAAGGGGAACAAAATCCACTCAATTCTGTGAATAAAGAACATTTTGAGATGATTGGCTTTGCAGACAGTACAATATACAGAGAAACAGAAATAAACACTCTTGTTTTAAAAATACCTGTGGAAGAACTGAAGATGGAGGATCCAATGCAAATTCTGTAAAGGAACAAAAACAACCAAAAAAAGCTTGTGGTGAAAGCAAAGCTTCGTGGCTTTGAGTAACCATGGAGACCAATGCTATTCTGATGCAGAAATAAATGAACTCAACCTTTTCATATTTATTAGTGGGACTGATGATGAAAGATAAAGTTGAATTAAAATATAAAGCAATAGAGGACAGACCCAGTCAATGTCTCTGCCCCTGCAATGCAGGTGATGAGTGAGCTGGTACTACAGAGGCAAATTTGTTATGAAAGGAACAAAATACTCTTAGTTATACCAACCTGTTTATCCAAATATCAGCTTCTTTATTAACAGAAATGGAGAGACAGTACACACAACATAGTCCTGAAATCTTTTGGTTCTGATAAAAACTGAAATAAATTTGTTTGAATACCATAACAGTGTATGAAAAATATATGTACTACAAAATGGTAAACTGTTTACTGTAACTGTATTAATGGATATTTGAAACCTACTAATTTCTTGGTGGCAAGAATGATAGAGTTTTCCCATAAAAATACCAGGTGAGTATTCAGGTCTCTGTCTCAAAAATACATGTCAAAGCATCAAATATTAATTGGGAAGTTCTTGCTCCAGGAATGTTACTGCTGAACAGAGGATGGCAGCATTAAACATCACTTGAACTTTCAGTAAGATTAAAAGATTGTGAAGTAAAACTTCCATGCCATTATTTCTGCATTATTTCTGTTTGCTTTGCTTAAATTCAGGTAAATGGGCTGAAACAAGTTCTTTAGAGAAGAGTCTTAATGGTTTTTCTGCTCTGTTGTGCTGGCCAAAGCCTGGACAGACAAATGTTTCCAAGGTTTCCTGTCACTGAAGACAGCAGAAGAAATTCAGTGTCAGTTGCTGGCTACTCTGCAAGCACAGCTGGCGTGTCTTGAGCTCTGCTATGAAACCTCAGAAATGTGTGTAAGAGGTGGATAACTTCCATCTAGTACCATTATAATGGTGTGATAAAATGACACAAACTGGGTTTAAGGTTCTTCCAGTTTTATTGGGCCATTTACCTCTTCTGCTTTTTGATTTTGTAAGAAAAATGTGTGGTTAACCTCAAATCTAGAAAGAAATTCTTGCCTAGGCTAAAATCCGGAGTTGAAGAGTAACTTGTTTTAAATACAGGAAAGTTTATGCCAAAACTTAAAACCACCCCCCCAATACTTCTTGCTGTTCCTGGTAGGACAGAGTATTTTTGTGCAAGACCTTTACTTTAATCACTATATAAAATGGTATTTCCTGTCATGGAATTTTCTGGCAAATTAATAATTTCTAGAGTTCAGATTTCAGTCTTACTTTTCACTGACTACAGACAAGAGCTCAGAATTTGGAAATTTGAGTTCATTAATATTAACCTTGCCAGATACTGAGACAAATATGATGCAGTTGTAAATTACACCAAATTTTGTATGTAATTGCTTAACAGATAAAGGTTGTTGCAGTACCATAAAACTGTTGGAGTTCTTTTTAAGTTTTTAAAAAGTGTCTTTGAAAAATCCTTTAAAACCTAGATGAAGTGACACGAGACAAATTGTGAAATGTTTTAAGTTTTCAGACAGCAGCTTCTTGTGAAATAGAGCAGCCTACAGTGGGAGAAGGGAACAAAACCAAGTTTTCTTAGCAAGAAATAATCTTTTATAAGACTCTGAACACCTGGTTTTGTTGGGAAAAAGATTACCACCCCATTGACATCTGTAAGTGGTAGTTAACAAACTCGCAGCTGATTTACTGAAGTTCTTTTCAATGGAATAGTTTGGAAAGCCTGCTAACAAAATGAGTTGAGGCTCAAATTTTCTGCTAAGGCAGATAAAAACAAGGTGCTCTTTTGCTGATGTAAATGTATTTTTCCTGTATTGTCCTTAAAAAGCATCTTCTATCACTTGAGTGCATAATTAGGAGCCAGTCCAACTTCCACTCCTCTCAGTTAAAAAAGCAGAATTAAAGTGCATATACCTCCTGTGAAGGGGGAAAGGAAGAACAAGACAAATCTAAACCATCTTCATCTAAAGGTAACTGTTTTCACTCATCACTTCACACACGTAATTAGTTCAACAAAACCCAGAAATGCTCATTCTTAAGTGTCAGCAGCACAAGTTAGTTGCAGAACATGAAAGCATACACATATTCTTGGCTTTGGCTTATACTTGTTGGTTATACCAGTGGAAAGTACAGTTTATACCTACCCGTGACTGCTACAGAGATAGCGACATGCTTTCTTAAGATCTCTGTGAAATGGTTTTGCTGTTTAAAATGCTGAAGGCCACAGAACCATTTTCTCCTTTACAACATTAATGAAAATTTCACAGGTCAATTTAGTGCTTGTATAGTATCAGAAAGTAGGTACTCTGATATTTATTAGACATGTGCCTAAATCAAACTCATTGCTTTATTTAAGTAGTTTTATTCTCATGACAATTGGATTCCTTTTAGTAAATTATCTTGATGAGGTTTTTGGTTATGCAGCTATTATCTGTTGTACTGCCCACTTGCCAAAATGCAGGACTGGTTTGACCAAACCAGTCACAAATTTCAACAAACTTATTTCTTTTTGAGTATTCAAGTTGCATTTTCTTCAAAGCCAACACAAGTCTGTAGCTTACAAGGCATGCTTCTTCATGCTGAAATGGTAAGTATTCAAATACCTTCGCTATCACTTACTCTCAATAGGTAGTGCTTCAGAGGCAGACATAGTTCTAGATAGCTTTTTAATATGTGAAGGTGATCTCCATTCATATAAGTACAAAGAATGAAAAATGTAAGTAATTCATAGACCTTGTTTCTCCAGGATGCAGAACAAGCAAATCACTACAATCCTATTTATAAACTTGTGTTCAGAATGCTAAACAGTAAAGACAAACTCAGCCAAAGTTAGTTCTGGAGGATTTTCAATATCCTTGAAGGAGATCCATCTGTTCAGTAACAAAGTACTACACAGACATGCCCTGGCAGATCTGTGCAGCACTTCTAGGGGTGGAACATAAGAATGTGGCAAGGTGGGATTTACCAAACAGGAATGTAGCACTTGCATGTAATAAAGCAAATATTTACATTAAGCACAATACAGCAATTTATTTAGATGCTTAAATGAAGAGTACAAAGGGAAATAAAGATCACAAAATTATACATACTACAACAGTGTGTCATATATTAGATGGTATAAATGAATACAACACCTTGCTGGTGTTAACTAAAGATAAAACTAAATATTCAAAAATCAGCACTTCTCTTTCAGTGTGCTGCTTCAACACAATACACTTTTATACAGGTCTAAAAGGTGTCAAAATTAGTAGCTGCAAACTTGTTTCTTGCATGTGATTTTTCTTTTTTTAGCTTAAAAGATTTCAGAAAACAGCTCTGAAATACGTTTGTCATCAGTTGTAATGTCAAGGATATTCAGAACAAGAAAATTCTATAATACAATAGAGTCCAGATATATTTTTTTTTTATGTTGCTGGCCTCTGTTTTGAGATTGTACAAGGTTATGTGCAAAAACTAAGTTTGTCAAAAGTCATACTATAGCAGTTTCAAGCTTTTGCTAGGTAAACTAGATACAGCATTTATTACACAGCAGGGCAACACTAAAAAAGAGAAACAAATCTATGATGGGTACACAAGAACAATTTTGTAAGCTTCACTTGAATAGGTCTAAAAGACTGTACAAATATACATTTCAACTATTCAGAATGATACATGAAAAAAAAAATCAATTTCCCCATAGTCTACTATACATGTTGAACTGGTAGCTTGTACGGTTGGCCCTACACTACCATGTGAAAAAGGGTAATGTTTAAAAAGACATACAACTGAACATGTACAAGAGTGAAATAAATGTTGAAAATGCAGATAAAATAAACCTCTGCTTTTATCTGTGTGCATTCTGGAGCCACCAGCTTATCCATTTCACATTAAGTTACTGTGCTCATCCCAGCAGGTATTCTCAAGCAAGATTAGCCAACAGCATCCTTAAACAACCACTGGAGTCACAGTGGCCACAACCACCACATGCCATGACCTAGCAGTACCAGTTAGAATTGAAGCTTAGCAGTCATACTGAAATGAAAGTGTTTATAGACAGTTGTAGACTGGATCATACTACTGACACTTCTGAATCGAGCAGCTTATGCTTGCTGGCTTCTCAGCTCCACCCCAGTTAAGCTGCTGTGCATTGGTTCTGCTACCCCATCAGTCACGCTGTCAAACTGATCTCCATCCTCGCTGTCAATTGTGCTATTCTGCCATTCCATCTGCTGATTTGACAAGCTCTCCTCAATCTCTGATGCATTTTTCCATTGCGACTGGTCCTTAGACCAAAACTCTTCTACTTTTCCATAGGAACGATTCTTCCACTTTGACTGTTCTTCATCACTTTCAGATCCACCCCCTTTTGTCTCAACAGTCGGTTTACTGCTACCAGCATCTTCGCTTTGGGAGGATTCATCTGTCCATGCTTCTGGTTTTACTTCTGATGTATTATCTTCAAAATCTGACACCTGCTGAGAGCCAGGCCCACTTTCAGACTGTGAAGCTCCATCTTTCCATTCAACAGCATCATCTTGATCACCTTCGCTATCTGAAACATCACCGACCAGTTTTGCTGGTTCTTCAGCAGAAATAGTCTCCTCATATTTAGAGCTTTCCTCTTGTTTTTCATCAGACTTCTCTGGAGACTGCAATGTATTTTCTTCAATTATTTCCTTGGATATGCTGTCCTCTGGCTTCTCCGCTGTGCTATCAGAAGTAGTTTTCCCACCAATGTCAGAAATTCGCTGACCAAATGGACTACCGGTTTCATTGTATTCCTCTTCTGTATTTTCATAGCTGTCTGAGGAACTTTCATTGTCTTTTTCTAAGTTAATTTTTTTATCAACAGTCTTACTAACATTGACTCTGGAATTCTTTTCATCATGGTTTTCAAACAGCCATTCAGCATCAAAATCCATTTCATGTTTAACCTTGTTCAACTCTTTCATATTGAAACCGAGCAGCACACCAGGTTTGTATTTTTCACAATCTCTGACACATTTCTTCCTTTTGTTACTAAAATGAGATGCAATATCAGATTTCCATAGCCACAAACTGGCAGCGAGCTTTTCAATCTCTCTCCTTGTGGGATATGGTTGCTTATTAAAATATTTTGTAAGAAATGTTTTCCTGGCTTCATAGGAATCATCTTCGTGACCCTTGGGGTCCAATGCTAGAACTACAGGTTCTTCAGGCTTCTCCTCAAAGGCAGAGGGGGAATCATCGTCGTCCATCTTCCTCTTCTTCATTAGCGAGAATTCCATGTGTTCGTAAGTACGTTTGACGGGTGCTACAGCTGGAGACTGACTTAGCCGAGATGATGAAGTGCCTTTGTCCTGGCCATTCTGAGTCTTCCCAACACCTCTGCAGTGAACAAGGTGCAGCGTTATAGTTGAGGCAGTCATGTTACTAGTATATACACCAAGGCAATGGATGCATTTGTAGGTCAGCTTTTTCTCAACCGGATGAACTGTCTGAATTACTTGATGCCTCTCCCGTAGATGATGTGCAAGTGCATCGGAGATGGGTCCTTTTAGGATTGAAAAGCATAGAGGAC